ATATATATTTCAAAGTAAAAATTTAAATCATGATCTAGTTTTTCTTGAGATAATGATTTTCTACTTTGATTTATTGTTGTTGTTATGGTTGTGCTGGTCTAAAAACTATAGCAATATAATTCTGTAAAACTTCTCTGGCCAGAACTAGGGAAGTTAGAGAACTGGGAAAGAACTGGACTCATCTACCTCTATCATTTGATACTGTTGCCCTATAATTATTGCCTGTAAGCCCATGTTTTCAAAAGAAGGCTGCCTTTGGGCATAGAAAAATTCTATGATTATTCTCCTAGAAGAAAAGAAAAGCATTCAATGCAATTTAACACTATTTTACATCAAAACACTAGACAAAATAACATTTCTTAACATTACATATATATATATACACATACACACACATGCAGATGATTGCGTTTATATAATTCATTCCAAAAGCAAATATATCCATGACCTAGTGCTTTAATAATATTTCATAACAGTTCCCAAACAAAGTGATATACAACAGCCAAATCTACAAATCAGTTTTGGTTTACTGAATTCAGCAGTTATGAACCAGACTTAGCTCCAGTCTGCAGGATAATTCAAGGTCTATGTCTCATTATTCCTCATTCTGGAGCAATATTTATTACTTGGGGTATTTTCTTATCATGGAAGGGGGAAGCAACACAAAAGACCAACTTAACTCATAAAAGTATATCTAAAAATTGCATCTGAGAGCTGACATCTTACTTGATGTGGAAATATTAGAAAGTTTTCTACAAATGTCAAGAAAGAGAGAAACATGTCAATCCTTTCCAGCACTATTTAATATAGTGTTGCAGGTATGAGCCAGTACAACTAAAGAAAAAAAATTAAAACATGAGAATCAGAGATGAAGATGTCAAAGTATCTTTATTCATAGGTGACCAGATTTTATATATTTCTATATGGAGAAAAATCCAAGTTAAATAAAAATAATACTAGTCAAAACAATGACATAAAATAAGCAGTTATTAAGTTAAAAATCAATAGCCTTAATATATACAAACAAAAACCTAGTATAAGATATTATGGTAATATATGATAAAAATTACCATGAAAGCCCTGGAAAAAACCATGAAATATGCTAAGACTAGCCCTACTAAGTATTAAATACATCATAATGTCTTCTTGACTGTAATAGTTTGGTTTTTGTCCATGAATAAAATGAGGAATATAAGTTAGTAGAAAACAACAGAAAGTTCAGAATAGAAATAACTGCTTATAAAAATTTACTATATAATAAATGTGGCATCTGAGATTGGTGAAGAAAAGGAGTTGTTAATGTAGGATATTTTAATATCCTGTATGGAAATACATGATTAAATATTTCTCCATTTATTTTAGATTAAATTCCAATTCATTAGAGATTTATAAAAGCAAGAAAGAATAATGAGATCTTTCAGCTACCAAACAGACACATGAATAGATTTCTTTCTGACTTTAGAGTAGAGATAATATTTTCTTTGTCTATAAATAAAAGTTAAAAATGAGAAAGCAGGGATAAATTTAACTTAAAATAAAACTCCAACTTATTCTATGAGAAGAACACTAAAATTAAAAGGCCAAAATCAAACTGATGAATAATTTTTATGACTTATACTCCAAAAAAGAGGTTAATTATCCCAAGTTACTGTGTTAGTTAGCTTTCTGTTTCTGTTGCTACTGGAGAAAACGACTTAAAGGAAGCGAAGATTTATTTTGGCTCATTGTTTCAGATGTTCAAGTCGTCGAATGGCTGACCCATTGATCTACGGCTGGGGCAAGGCAGAGACATAGCAGAAGGGTGTGGCAGAAGAAAGCTGCTCAGTTCTTGGTAGCCAGGAAGCAGAGTGCAAAATATGGCACAGGGACCAGAGGAAGAGCCCAAGGTCACCACCCCCAGTGCCGTCAAGTTAGAATCTTGTCAATGGGCTAACCCACTGATGAAGTCCATTTGTGTCTGAGAAGATCCAAAGACACACTTAGAATTGTGTGTTACTAATTTCCCTCTCACTTCACATTCCAATTAAATTCACCAGAATGATTAACCATCACAAAGAGTTTCTAAAAACCAAGAAAAGATATTCCAACAACTCTGTCAAGATAGGCTCAAGGGATAAAGAGTCCACAGAATAAAAATTCAAATGGCATGTAACTGTTATGAATGCAGTCAGACATGCTTAGAGTTTTTTCCAAAAACTGTGTTATTACAATAAATGGTATTTATCACCTATCAAATTGATAAAAATCATAAAGTTTGACACATTTTCTGTTAGAGTATGGCGAAATAGGAACACATCTATATAAACTTGATGTACAGAGACAAAATGAAATATTCACTGGGAAAGTGCTGATTGAATAAACACTACATGTTATATTATTATATAGTTACAAAAAGAATGAGGACTATTCTTGTATTCTGCTATGATATCTTGGATACATTATTAAAGAAGAAAGTACTTAGGGATCTCAGTTTTTATGAAAGGGATACTTGAAAATCAATGTAGAATAATTTAGGACAATGGAGGATTGATAGATTAGATTACATTTATAAAAATGTTTATCAATGGGAGGGAGAAGGAACGGAGTGAAAGGGACCTTATTATCAGAGACTTTAAAACAATCTTAATTTATAGATCTGACCTCAAAACTAGATAAAAATTTTTACAGTTATATAATAAAGTAGTTTGAATATAAATTCCTAATAATAAAAATATGACATATAAATGCAACTGTATATACAAATGGTAGAAAACCACACACAAATACAACTGATGACTTAAAATAATTTGACTGTAGTAGAAGGTACCTGAGGACATCACTAACTGAAAAAATTTAAAATCGTACATGGTGACATATTGGTTTTTATAATCCTGTGATTGTTCTGTGTGGTAAATGAAATGGATAATTATAGGAGTGTCATCTATAATGGGGAGTTTTGGTATAATTTAAAGGGAGACATGAATATCACAGTGAGGAAAAATCATCGTAATTCTGTGTTTGAACTGGAGATAAACAGAATTTATGGCATCATAAACAAAAACATATTTCCTGCTTCTGTGTACTGAAAATCCCTAGAATCGGTGACTAACCTAATGGTAAATGAAATCCCTTAACATCCAGATTATGATCTCTAAACACCACTTTTTCATGGAAAATCAACCAAGGATCCTTTACAAACTGCAGTAGGCCATAATTAATTGGGATGTCTTGTAACTCAAGAACTCATGTTACACCAAAATGTCCAGGGTTGCATTAAAGTATTTGTGAGCCAAATATGCTTCCTTGGCCAAGATGGGAAAATTTGAGCATTATTATTAAACATACTATTGACAACAGATTCATAGTCACTGAACTAGTTTAAATGCATTAGCTTAGAGTAGATATAAAAGAGCAAAGAGGAGAAAAGGCATTACTCATTTGTCTTTTATTATTATTGTACATCTTAGAGGGTATTAGGGAATCATTTTACTACTTTTAAGAGTTGATAAATAAGAAAAAAAATAAAATATTTACTTTGGCTTTCTTAATCCCTGTCTTGGTTTAATTAAATAGTCAATATGTTTCTCCTGATAGGATTTTTTTGGCAAATAAAGGTATTACAAATGTTAGAATTAGAATATGACAGTTTTCACAACTGTAAATGAGTTGACAGGTTCAAACAACAATTATCAGTGACATCCCAAAAAGGACAAAACATCAAACACCTCATGAGAGAAATCTGTACATCCCACTGAGACAATATTGGGAAGCACATGAACCTGAAACTTGCCATGGCCCTAGACTTAAGAACTTTTTATTTGTTTATTTATTGAGACTGGGTTTCTTTGGGCTGACACTTGTGAGCCTCCTACTTCAGCCTCCCAGGGTGCTGGGATTACAGACATGACCCACCATGTCCAGCTCTAAGCTTCTTTTAATAAAGAACTATAAGCAACTGCGGATTTGCAGCCATTAAGATAACATTGTGAAAAATTCTACAGTTTAACAACTGTGTTTCTTTAATAAATAATTTGCAAGAGAAAATAGTAGAGATGGAGATAAAAGCCTGTAACTTAAAAGTGACTTGTGAATGGACTTTTTGGAATGCTGGCTCAAACAACTGAAATGTAAAAAAACAAAAAAAATTCCTATTATTTCCCTGACCAAGACAGGCATCTTATTCTATCTTTCTTTTTCCATTAAATTACTATGTGTGATCCCTATCCTAATATAAAACCTCTTTCTTTTGGGCAAATTAATAAGCAGAGACCTTGAGCAATGAAAATACCCTCAGGCACCATAAAACAAGTTTTGTTTATCTTGTTCACTGCTCTGCTCTCACATTATATGGAACTTAGTAGGTCCTTAATCCAAATCTGCTCGGGAATGAGTAACGCAAATTTAATTGAATACAGAGCTGGGATTCGCCCAGGTTTTCTGACATCTCACCTAGAATAATTGCTCCATGGTCTTTCATCGTTGCGATAGGTACTGTTGCCTGAATACGTGTCAGAATCAACACGCTGAGAGTTTCCAGCGTTCTCAGCTTCTCACTTCAGGTACCTATTTTTTCTCCTTCTTTCCCTGGTAGGGAATTCAGAATTTCAGCGTCCCAGGAAAGCTTCGGTGTGCTAAAAGAGAATGGAAGCATTGAGAGCGTTTCACACGGCTCAGGAACCCTCCAAGAGGCGACGCCAGTTCTCCACGACAGTTACCTGTTCAACGGAACTTAACTAACACACCTGTGTATCATCCCTGCAACATACACGGTAATGATTTCCTATTTCTTTGTGGAAAACACAGCTGTTCCAGACTCTTCACATGTATCTAGTCCTCCCAAGTCCCAGTGAAGTAAGTACTATTCTTTATCTAAAGATGAAGGGAAGGCTCCCAGGGGTTCCCTGATCTATCCAAATAGCACGCAGCTTTCATCCCACGTGCTTTCAGCTGTGCGTGGTGCACTTTTCGTTTAGGGACTGAGGTGGACCAAAGAGAAAAATTACATTGTTCATTCATTAGTTCATTATTGAAGAATCTAAATTTCCGGCAGGTCATCTTATTTATTTATTTATTTATTTATTTAGGATTCTAGTGTTTGTAGTTAAGAAAAGATTTTTATCTTCCTGGTTGTCTTTTTACTATTCCTCTTACCCTCTTAAAGGCGAGATGGTAGAAAATAAAAAAATAGGGGAAAAGAAAAAAAAAGAAAGGTAAAATCAAATGTTCTAACAGTCTTAACCTCAAAGCTGTTTTTGAAAATAAATGGCATATGAGGGGTACAGAGCTAATCTTAGACTTAATTCCCTTGTGGAATTTTCTGCTTGTTTATTTTACTAATTCTGTTCTGCTTTGGCCTGACGATATTTTGTTGTACCATCAGATATATTTTCTTTGTAAAAATTTTTAAAAACTGTATATCTTCTAATTAAGCCAGTAAAGCCAAAATATTGCCATGACAACAATCAATATTAAAATATTAACGTGATATTATTTAATTGGTGCATAATCATACAAACATGGAATATAATATAAATTTTGTACACATACATAATATATACCTTGAGTAATGATGCAATCAGAGTAATTAACGTATGCTTCACCTGAAGTATTTATCTTATCTCTGGGGTGACATATTCAAATTCCTGTCGTCTCTTTTGAAATATACAATGGAAAAAAAGGTTAATTGAACTTCCAAAATTCACTCAAATCAGCAAGTTGGAGAGATGGGACCCAGATTCTGGCAGTCTGATTCTTGAGCCTGCGCCCTTAACTGCTATGCAGTACCATTTTTAGCACAGTGTGTAAAACTGAACATATTATTCCACATTACTGAAATTTGGTTAGAATTAATTATGCAGGCTTCAATCACTAACATACCAGAGACACCCCCCAACAACCATTTTTTCAAAATTCAATAATGTGAAAAGAGACAACTGCCATTAGCAAATGTCTGATTTCATTTATTCTGTCTGTGTACTTCCCAGTCCTTTTCCCAAGATGCTCATCCATCAGTACAGTGAGCATTCTTTTATATTTTCCATAATGCATGCATCTATGGGGTTGAGCATCCCTATCCCCTTTTGCAGAGTCTTCCTTGAGTTCTGCTTACTCCCCAAGAGAGATCGCTGTGTTTACGGAGCATCGTGTGTTCAGGCCAAGGTACAAGGAAAGCAAATGGTAATTCTCAAGAACTTCAATGTCGAATACTCCTCAGGATTTTCTACACTTCACTGGTTAAGGGATTGTGTGGTAGAAGCAGCCTTTTTTAATTACTGGAGGATTTGAATTAATGACACAGCTGTCCAGCTGTTGAGGAAATGTCTATTCTCCAGTGTTCCTCATCAGTGCCCTTGGGCCAACTCTAGAACTAAGCTTCTCACTCCCAAAGCACCACATTACACAGGCACCATCACTCCCACCACTGCACTGTTGCTTGGCAACAGCAATGCTCGTTCCACTTGAGGATGGGAAAGAGACAAATGGAAAACCAGAAAAACCCCCAGCCTTGTAATTTCTCATACCATTTGTAGGATGGCACAAAGTGAGTGCTCAGCCTCAATACTATCTCAAAATTGGAGCCTGAAGATATTTTTGTTACAAGAAAGGAGCCATTAGTATCCATCGCACTTAAAATCAGGGGCACCATTTAGCCCTGAAAGCTACAATGGTTCAGATCAGTAGTTATTTGTATTTATAAACCTGACTACACTGCTGACTACTGGGGACATACTAATGGTAAATGATCCGATAGTTAAGGTGGAGGCAAGTTGATGTAGAAAAATCAATCAATCTCTCATCCAATCTTTATTGAGGATGTATTAGAATTACTAATAGCTGCCATTAATGAGTACTTTCTATGTGTGCGGTTTCTCTATGAATCACATTTAATGCTTATGACACTCATGAGATAGGATCTATTATTCTTGCATTGAGATAAGGAAATTACTACTCAAACACATTAAATAAATCGTTCAGTGTCACGCAGATTGTCAGATTTGAGCCTAGGGCTGTTTGGCTCCAGAGTCCCTTAACCTCTAAGATCATCTGTCTATTCTGCTAGTTACTCACTAATCCCCTGCTAGGCTCTGAGCTACTTTACAATGCCAGTCATCCGGAAAGTTCTCTTCATGTATCTACTGCATAGTAGCATGATATGGAGCAATTGAGGCTGTTTGATTAATTCTAATCCTGTCTTTTATCTCCTTCGCAGTTTCTTTGATAGTTTGAATGTTAGCTAGATCTGGGTTTAAACATTGGCTCTAGCAGTTTATGTAAACATTGGTGGATGAAGTTGAACTGTTTGTAATTATCAACCTATAACTATTATGCTTGTCATATTTGTCAAGAACTGTGAAGGATCTGAGATTTTTTTCCTTTGCAAGATAACAGGTTAAATTTCAACACATAGATGCCCATAGAAGATATGAGACTCCTGGGTCAGAGGTGGAGCACTTAATTGCTTGCAGCACAGAGCGTCACATTAGCTTCATGTTCATGGTGGTTTTCTTTCTCTCCAAGTTCCGAGGAGGTGATGAGAAATGACCAGGAAGACACTTCACACTCAGTAGGCTAAGGTAGCCCAAGATTAGGAAACCTCTATCTTTCAAGGAAGACTGCTGGGAAACATCCCAACATTTACTCCAAAGGGAGGCATTGCATCTGTCCTGGTCCTGACCAACAAATCTTTCCTCTCGTCTGGAGGAAGACACTAGCTCTGTGTTCTAAGGCTGTTTGCAATACAAATATCCTTCAAAGGCTAGAGCAATACTTGGTACAAGACAGGCAGAAATGAGAGAGATGTGTCTTGCTGCAAGGGAGATGGCAGCAGCAATGCTGCCGGTGGTGGTATCTGGTACCCTGTGTCCCAGTGACTGCTCTGAAATTAGAGCAAGGTGCTGCAGCCAAAACTTCAGCGGATCTGTCCAGGCCTTCCCAATTCCCTTTGCGGAGCAGAACTAGCAGCCCAGGATTCAGCTGTATTTTCTGAGCCAGCAGATGATGTTGGTGGAAGTAAGGAGAATTCCTCCCTTTTGGATGGCAGCTCCCCTAAAGAGATATGTTATTGAAGTTAACCTGCATAGGAAAAGAAACCCTCAGAAGCTTATTAAAGTGAAGAACAAAATTGATGTTTGTCCCGAATGTAGCCTGAAAGGGAAACATACCCTTTCAGGTATGCTATGAGAAAGTGTGCAAGGAGACTGCAGAAATCAGAGGACAGATGGGGAAACCCAGGGGACTGTGGTCCCCCACAGCAGAGACGATGGCCCTGCAGACGGGAGAGACCCAGTCTGAACACCACTCAGACAAGAGCAATGTCGACAGAGACAGGAATAGGCTGTTCTGGTTCACCCAGGACTGACACCAAAGATGCTGAAAGGATAACTCCGCAGGAAAATATTTCTTGTGAAACAGAGAAGGAATCTTTGTTTTTATGTTGTTGTGCTTGTTTTTAAACTATCAATCTGGTTTAAATTGTAACTTGTAAGCAGTTAATTTTGTGTGGGATAATTTGAAGCATATATCATGGGGGAACCTTGAAAATGTCTATGCAAAAGTTCAATGGATTAATGTCTGTTTATACCACACTGTCCAGTTTCAAATAAACGTAACATTTTTCAGAACAACATTTTTTTAAAAAACTCACCGTAAGAAAAAGAAAGAAACATGAGAGTTGCATGGAAGATTAGCCCCCAAAACTATTAATGAATTGTTAAAATTGTATGAGAAAATTTCCTGTGCAGTATCTACTATAGAGAAGAAAATGAATACATTTTTCATGAGTAAATGGATAAATAAAAGAATGAATGAACATATGATAGATACTGGGATGCAAATGACTAGAAATGTGTAACATAGAAAAATGGGAAAATAGTTATTACCTTTGGCTCTTGGATATGTAATATAAATTTTATGAATCTTATGTTTTTATATATGAAATATGAATCATAACTCAAATTCTGATAATTGTATGAGATTTTGTGTATGTTTTTATATAAATATACATATTCATATAAATACACATTTTTATGTACTTGTGCATATAAATGTATAGTGTTGCATGTCACATATGAAAAAGGTAAACAGATGGATTCTTGCTTTAAAGTAATAGAAGTAAGTTTGACAAACTTAAGCAGACAAAAGGGAGAAAACATAGATTATCTTATGAAACTCAGATGTGAAAATGTTTGTAGGCTCAAACAATATGGGAAAGCTTATGTTTGACTAGCCAAATAGAGAGACAGTATTTCCTGTTGGTTTTATTTGTACTTCTCGTTGAGGTGATAGTCCTTGGTCTTCGTGCTTGATGTTTGCTTTGGATCAGTCGACTATATCCAAGAGCTGGTGCTGGTGGTGGGTGGCAGTGGGGGTGACACATAGGAAGCTCCCTTCACGAGAAAACTCCTCTCACAAAGGGGAGGATCAGGAAACTCTTGGACAAGAAGGGTTGACAGTAACCCCAATATAGAGTAGGGTTGAGTTGAGTGTCTGCGACTTGCAAACCAGAGTCTTGTGTAACACAGAGTTATTAAGAAGAGACAGCTGAATGGGAGTGATGACCAGAAATCAAGTTTTAGAAGCAAAGAGCAGTTTGCACAGTGCTATATCTGGAAAAGGAGAAAGAATAAACATACCCAAAGGAATAGTTGGTTTTCTTACATTGAAATAAGTTGAGAGTGTAACAAGAGCGTGGACATTTTTCTACGTTCCATCTTATTGGCCACTAGAACCCAGTTAAATTTCAGAGTCTGTGTGAAGGATGGACAGTAAAGGAGGTGGGTATGGTAGGTGGACAGAGGAGTGATGAGAATTAATCTTGGAAGAGCAAACAGGATCCAGATCATGCAAATAGCTGTGAAGCATGCTTCAATCTGACCCGTGAACAGTTAGAAGCCATTTAGTGGATTATGTGCGAGAATGGCAGGATTCTTTAGGCACTGCTGAAACTTCACCCTCAGAAGCAGTGTAAAGAATGTGAGAAAGGGACATTGGATACATGGAAGGCCTTCGTGAGTTACTGTGGGAGAGCCGTCATGATTGCCTGGGCTAAGCTGGAATCAGCCATGAGGGACAGAGTGGATGGACTCAGAGTCAGCTAGGGATACTTCCAGGCTCCCATGCCAAGTAGCTGGCTTGGTGGTTGATTGAATGTGAAGGAAATGAGACCAAGGAGAGGAGGATGACACAGCCCCATATTCACATCGCAACCCGAGGGAAGGTCTCAATCCAAGAGAGTGCTGCAGAATTCCAGGCCTGTTTCTATACACAGTTCGTTTTGTGCAAATATCCCATGATGCTTACTTAATCTCCAATAGTTTAAGAAGCAAGTGCATTTAAAAAATAAACTACATTAAACTAAAATAGATTCCTCTTTTGAGGTAGCATGATTTTCATGAAAATGCCTGGGATGGAGAATGAGGTTGAGGGTGTGCCCTGGTTGAGGCTGTAAAATAGCTGTGGCATTCTCATCTCTCTGGAGTTCAGTTTCTGTTCATTTTTCAGAGGAAAAGAGAATCAAATAGCTGCACTACAAGTTCATAGAATTCATGCAGGTAAAATGATGAAATTTTAGAACGTTAATTTGTTACTTTCCAGTTTTGTGATCTTGGGCAAGTCACCCAAAAGTCATATTCTTCTTTACCTTTTGAATCAAGACACTAATGCATATCTTGTATCTATTTCTATTAACTACATAAGGAAATCTCAGGAATGTACTTAGAAATGAGTAATATTAGAATCATTTTAAATATGATTATCTTTTTATTTTAAATGAGGAAATAAAGTTTAGAACATCGAAAGGTGTTTTAAGGGCTCACAAATAGTACTCAAGACAGCTGGGCTTAGTTTCAGGTCTTCCTAACCTAATTCCAGAGTTCATCCAACATAGCACAGGAAATAGACCCATAATTTGGAATATCAGAGGAGATACCACTCAAGGACCTGCTTGTCTCCAGGAGCAAATGGGGAACCAGAGATTTCCCACCATGAATCTCTGACCACACAGGCTTCCTTGGAATTTTTACTTACCTTGTGTTCAGCAGGTATAGACAAAATACATGATAGTGTGATAATAATTCATAGAAGTTTTAAAGTCAGTTCAGAGGCATCAAGGTAGAAACAATGCCTTTTTTGTCAGGTAAAGAAAGAGCAGTTTCAACACTAGCATAGACTTCCAAGCATGGATGATGGAATGGAAATTAATGATTCATTTACCAAAAGCCCTCCAGGCAGTAACTTGGATCAAATATATAGAAAAGATGAAGCTGGGTCTCTAATGTGGATGGCAACTGCTATTCATAATGGTCAAGAGAAAGGCAATTTCTTGAAGTAAATTTTGATCTGTGCTGAGCAATGGGGCAAAATGGAAACATTTGAATGATTTAAGAAGTTAAGGGGAATTGGTCAAAGGAAGAGAAGCAGATTCTCTTCTTTAATTATCTTAACTCACAAATGGACTGCATTTAATTTCATCTAAACTGGTGGTTTTATGGAAAGACCACAGAAGTCAGCATGTAAAGATCCAGATCTCAAACTTAGTTTTTTAAGTTGCATGACCTCAAATAAGTTGTGTATACTGTGAGTGTCCATTTCATCTTGCAAAAATGCAGTGGTTGGATGCCTCTCTTATTAACATACATGTCAAAATTTTTGTTTATTAAATAAATAATGCTAAAACACCACTAATTGGTTCTCCATTTTCATTAACCAGACATAAAAATGTCTACTTGGACATCTAATCATAACAAAATAGCTAATCAGTCCGGACTGATTTTTAAAGCAACTCTGTGTTAGGATGGCCTGATGCCAACAGGATGGGGAAAGAAGAGACTGCAAAGGATGAAGATTCAGTAGCTTACAGAGTCCAGAAACACGCTATGGCTCTTCCTGTAGACCCCATCTCTTCTGCTGGCACTCTTCCCTCACTTACTGTTCCAAAATAATACTGGTTTCCTTTACACTTTTCAGTCAAAAAACTCCTATGTGAATCCTTCATTCACAGTTTTCTTTGCTTAGAGTGCTCTTCATCCAAGTTTGGTTTAAATAACATTTTCTCAGAAAATCACCTGGGTCCCAGTTGATTTTTCTCTGGCAAACTCCTACAGTTTAATCTTTTATTATCTTTATGCCAGTTTGTGTCTGTGGCTGAATTAGTTAATTTATTTCTTTGTTGTGTCTCTTCTTTAATTGTGTGAAGAGTCCAGAAAGACAGTACTTTGTTTTTTTAAACTCTCTGTCTTTGTAAGATATCTGATATAGAGATGACAATACTTATTTGTTTGATAGAGAAAAAACTTTAACATAAAATATGAGAAGTAATTTGAATGTCGCTTCTCTTTGAAGAACCTTCACTTATATGAGGAAGTCACGGGATCAATTAGTTCTAAGTTCTATCCCATCTCATCTACAGTCAAGGTTCTTCTACCTTGGCATGGTTGACCTTTAGAGGTTGGTGCTGGTCAATTGTGACGGTCAACTTGACTAGATTAAGAGACGTCCGGGAGGTGACTGGACTAAAAGCACTAACCTCATCAATGGATTAACACATTGATGGTTTCACAGTTGAATGGTCTAGGTGGGGCCTAGTTGAAGAGAGTGGGTCAGGTGGGTGAGGCCTTGGGGACTATCTCTGGTCCCTGCTCTTCTCTGGATCCCCCATGCTCTGCTTCCTAGCTACCATGAGGTCAGCAGTTTTCCTCCACCAGACCCTTTCACTGTGGACGGAAACCTAGGAATTATAACCCTCCCCTCTTTTAAATTGTAGCATGTCAGATATTTTGCCCCAGCAATGGAAAACCTGACTAATAAAGGGCAGATGACTCACTGCAGTGGAGCTTTTTCTGTGTACTCCGGGATGCTTAGCACCATCACAGGCTTTGACAGTAGCCCTGACCCCCAGTTATGACAATCAAATGTACTTCCAGCTTAATGATATGTCTCCTAGGGGACAAAATTGTTGCTGCTTGAGAACAATTGTCTAAGATGACAAATTGAACTGAGAGAATGTATAATCTGCACATGTTACAGGGTATAACGGTTTTGAATGCTAAGGTCATTTCTCTTCATCTATTTATCAACAAATTTTATTAAAAACAGTTTTTACAATAATTGTTTTAGTAATAGTCCATATCTTGCCATGCACATAAGGAAGTTTATCAGTCAAGAATTTGATAGCAATACAGAAACTTTCTTTGACTGATATAGAGAGTAAAGACTTTATTAAAAGGCTGAGATGGAATTGCAGAATTGCTGGGAAGGTTCAGGAATCAAGGATAGAAAATGACACGGAGAAGGGACATCCAGGCCGCTAGGAGCATGAGTTTGGCAGGCACTGGTATTGTTACCCATGAAGGCTCCTGCGCCAGCATACATCCTTCCTGCATTCACCTTGGATGTGGCTGTCTTAGTAGACAGACTTTACTGCCACCACTACCACTGACCCCAGAATGCATCTCTGTGGCCCCTGCCTATTTTGGCCCCTTTTCCCCCATTGGGTGACTGGTGTGCACATTTGGTTAGCTGAGGCTAGGCCATGTGCTCAATCTCAAGATGAATGCAAGGCTAGGAAAGTGCATAACTGCTCTTCTCACTTCTGAGATGGAGACAGACTCTGCCTTTCACTGGCGCCATATAGTGAAGAATCCCATAAACACAGGAGGTAAGATTCTAAAAGCCCCCAGTGCAGCTAATATGCAACAGTGAAGAAAAATAGGGTAATAATCAAAAGTATCACAGTGGACTGAAGCCAGCTACAGACCCCTCCATCTGTTAAAGGCATACACACTGGATGTGATGTGGTGTATTTACCACTTTTCCTCAAGAAATGTTCAGCCCTCTTTTCATCTGGAAGAGGTGTTGTACAAACTGAGCTCCAGCATCCTGCTGTCTCCTGTCCCTTGGCCACAGTGAGAGGCAGAGCCTCGCCATTCCGTGGCTTTCCATAAGCTCAGAATGTGCACCCTAAGGCCCATTTCCCTGACATTAGTCCCCAAGTTGCACCCCAGTAGCTCCTGGCCCAGACAACCGCATGATGTTCCAGCCGCCAAAGTCCAGTGGCGTTTGCTGGGTTTCCAATTTGACCTCCTTGCATTTCAATGGGCAAAGCCTGTTCTCCGTGGGCCGCTCTGCATGACAAGCAGGCAGGGCTGCATGGATAATTCAAGCTCCAGCAGTTTCTCAGCTCAGATGGAACAGCACTGGCTTTGCTAGAGTGGAAAACAGATTATAAACTGCAAACTCATTTATTCTACAAATGTTTGCTATACTTAGGGAAAGCAGTTTCCCATAATTTTCTTCATTTCCTTCTAGAGTCGAATTAGCTCTCTTTGAACATGCCCTGGTAAAATAGCTCCTGTGGCTACTAGAACTGGAGAGGATAAAAGCATTGTGCTTTGTCTGTGTGAGCAAAAGGGTGGGCTGGGTTTTTTATTTGTGATGTGCTAACCACAGCTCATTCAGGATTTGCTAAGGTATGCTGGGCTAAAAAAAGTAACACCACAAAAAATTATTTCTTATTTACACAGCAGGTCCAGTATGCTTTTCCATACTCCATATACTTTAACACCTCAGACATTAATTTAATGCTGTTAATGCCACTTAAGGTCATAGGGCATCATATGAGCACAGAGGAGTGTAATCTAGCTTGGACAGAAGCATTGAGACTTTTGAGAAGATGAGAGGCCTGAAATAAGGCTTCAAAAATGTGCAGGAGTTAGTTAAGGTTTCCTTAATCAAAATCATCAATGCAAGAAAAAACATATGTGTGGAGAAAACTGATAATGATAATCATAAAGTAAGAGATAAAAATGACAAGAGATATCACTCCAAAGGAATCAATTTGTGAGATTGCCTAATCATCTTGAAATGCCTGTACATTATCTTGTTTTTTAGGAAGTGGGGGGTCTTTGAAAGGGTTTAAGTCAGTGTCAAATGGTCAGACTATTGTTTCTGAAAAGGTCAGTTTGGCTGCAGCAAAGAGAGTGTATTTGGCCGGATGGAATTTGAAGACAAGGACCTTGATAAGAAGACTTTTCATAATCCAGGGTCAAGAATATGTGTGAGGAAACTGGTTAGATGGAGAAGGGAAAATGGATCCAAGAAATACTTGGGAATACACTTGGCAGAGCAGATAAGTGATTGATAGGATGAAGATAGTAAGAAAATGAGGTTATTGGTCTTTGTTTTTCAGGTTGATAGCCACATGCACAATGAATTTGAGATATAAAATAAGAAATGATAAATAATTTTGGGAAATAGTAAATTCAGATTTGATCCAATTTAGCTTAAGACACTGAAACAAGGATGATAACAAGCAGGTAGTTTGCAAAAAGAATTGTAACTCAAGGGTCTATGACTAATATACGTTTAGTGGATGTTAATGTATAGATGGCAGAAGAAATCTTTAAAGTAAATATCACTTTTAGCAATTTGAATCCTGAGATCAACAGCTCCAGGAAAAAAAATCCTGGATGTTTCTCTACTTGAGGAATGCATAGTGGAAGATGAAGTAGGATATTAAGAAGATTGAGGAAAGAGAAAAAGGACAATGAATTTTCATAGAACTGGGGCATCATTGAGTTATAATATCTAAAGAAAATGTTTTATCTGATGATGGGAAATGTAGCAGACCAATCCAGAAAAGTGAAGACAGAAATACAGCCATTAGAGTTCATCATAAAAATGTCATTGATAATCTCAATTTGCATCAATTATAGTGTTTTTCTGTTGAATCATTAAATGTTTATAAATAACTACTATGAGCAGACTGTGGCCCATAGAGCATTGTGGCACAGAGTGAATAAAATAGAGTCATGCTTTTATAGAAATTAAAGTGTAAATAACCACATTCTCTCTCTCTCTCCCTTTATATTTATACATATATTTATATATATTTTATATATATATTTACATTTTTAATGTGTTATGAAGAAAACTCTTTAAAAATAAACTGGAAGTGATTACAGATTATTTGTCCAAGACTGTGCAATGCAGGATACTACAGAAGCTGAACTGTATATGTAAGCAGAGTACAATTTGAGAGCTAAGGAAGAGCTTTTTCAGATGAAAGAGATATGAACAAATACAGATCAAAGAGATAGAAGTACAGAAATGTAAAGATATAGGAATAGAAGGCAATAATTGACATTTAATACCTGTAGGAAATGAAGGAGTCAGTGTTTCATGTAAAGGATTTGACTGCACGAAGAAGGGGATTTCTATGAGGAAGGAGAATTGACTGCAAAGGATGTTGGGAAATGTGTCTGGCAGTGTTGACAGGCTTAATGAAATAGGAATCAGGTCTATTTGATAAGGGTGAGAAAGGTGGTAATTGAAAAGACTTTGGGAAAATGCAAATATGAATAGCTATCTAAAAACAAAGGGACTAATTTTTAAAGTGTCTTAAAATTATTTTCTAGCCTTTGAAAAATAAAAGTTCTAGATGTTGGACCCCTTAGTCACCATATGGAAGAGAGTCACCAAGAAAAGTAAAATTACCCAGTTTTACATAATTTAGCTATTATTTGAGTAGGAAATTTGTTTTTCCTAGCTCGAAACACTAAACTTTGCTGATGCTACATAATCTAGTTTCTCTTTCCTAACCAACATAGCAGCTATGAAAATATTGTATTTTCTTTATATTCATCTAGATATTTTTGTTTCATTTTTGCCTTGTTT